AAAGCCCTTTTTTATCTTGATTCTTTAGATTGCTTGCCTACGACGAGGGGATGCACACTGATGGGAAGAACCGGACTCGGTACGAAAACAAGACATTCTAAAACCTGCATAAACGCATAAAAAAATGGAAAGAATATATTATTTTTGCCACTTTGCTCACGCTACTGTTTTTTGCTAGTGCAAATCCATCTTCTTTCTACTTCCCTCCAACTAGAGCCACGTCCGCCTTTCCTTCCTTCATTTAGGGTGGCTAGAGAGTTGGGTGTGTCGAGCGCGCCGGCTCTCCCATGCATCGCCGCGGCCGGTTTGGAAAATCACCGTCAGGGGCGCTCTAATCAGCCTGTATGCTAGGCGCGCGCAGTTGGCGCACTGATTTCCGTGCGGCAAGGCGAGTAGCGACGAGTTCACGCCCGCTTTCATCTGTTCGTTAGCGCTCGTGCGAATTTATTTCCACCGTTCCTGCATGCCCGTCAGTCAGGTGACACGCGGAGACCATGGACATTGCCCCATCAACCTCTGGCGTAAAGAAAAAGCAGAGAGCGAAGCACTGCTTCGTTCCAGGATGCACGACAGGCTACAGGTCTGCAAAAGAAAAAAACTGAAAGCCGTTTACAACTTCCTGTAACGCCGAATTGGAGCGCAGCTCTTGAGGAGGAGGAGTGGAGGGTATATTCCTTCTCCTCCCTCGTGATCATGCCTGCTAGTCCTCCTCCCCTCCTGCTCTCCCTCCCTCTCCTTTACCACCTCCTCGTCCTTCAAGCTCCTCCCCTCCCCTCGCCTCCGCCTCCTCGTCTCTCCTCTCCCCCTCCTCCACCTTCGTACTGCTTTCCTCCTTGCCGCTCAAGCCGGAAAGGGTCGCGTAAGAGCTGTGCTCTTACGCGACCCTTTCCCCCCCCGAACCATACTAGACAATGAGGGGAGGAGGAGGAGGGGGAGGAGGAGGAGGGCAGAGGTCCGGGGGGTCACGTGACCTCGAGGGGACGGGATCACATGACCTTGGGCGGGCCGTCACGTGACTTCGGCGGGGGGAGGGGTCACCCCCCGGGGTCACGTGCCCTTGGCAGGGGAGGAGGGGGGAGGAGGAGGAGCGGAGGGGGAGGAGGAGGAGGGGGAGGGGCGACGCCGACGCCGACGCCAACGCCGACGCCGCACAGGCTGGAAACGGGTCATGTGACCCCCTCCCCCCGAGGTCACGTAACCCGCCCGGACCATACTACACAATGAGGGGAGGAGGAGAAGGAGGGGGAGGACGAGGAGGAGGAGGGGGAGGAGGAGGAGGGGAGGGCGCGGTTACGCCGACGCCGACGCCGACGGCGACGGCGACGGCGACGGCGACGCCGACGGCGACGCCAACGGCGACGCCGCTCAGGCTGGAAACGGGCCCCTAAGAGCTGCGCTCTAAAACACACGTTGTTCACCGTCCCGAAGGGCCCAGTCCTCTTCTCTCAGTGGGACAGGAATATTTCGAGGGGAGACACGCATCTTCAGGAAAACTCTGTGGTGTGCGCACTTCACTTCGACGAGCATCAAGCGATACTTCTCTAAAGTATCGCTCGATCCGTTCGAGATATCGCTGTATGAGTGTGTTTTGGGGCTCGTAGCGTCCTGCTGAACACGTCTGCGGCCAGCGTTGGGAAGTACTTTAAGTACATTGTACTTAAATTACAATGTACTTAAGTACATTGCACTTAAATTACTACTTAAATTAGATTTAGGAAACTTGTACTTTACTTGAAGTACATTCTCTGAGTATGTACTGTACTTTTTTTTCTGCTACTTTTTGAGGAAAGTACAATTCCCGACTTCAAAGCACATTCCCCGAATTTGGTTTTGTTAAATTTGCATCGCGAAATGACGCTTTGTCAACTCCGAAGAAATACTGGGAGGGATATTCTACTCTCACCAGAAACGTGAGCAGACGACGCATTGCTCCGCTTGCTCTGGAGACGGCGTTCCCGTAGCTTTTTAAACTCTCGCTACTTCTCTGTCGGTCAGCGCAAGCAACGAGGTTTAAGATATCAGGAGAGCAAAATTAATCATAATGTAGCACCTGAGTCTGTGGTGCGAAAAAATTAAATTTTCATGTCGAAGTCAAAAGACAACAGAGGAGGACGTCACAATGTTTTGAGACAATTCCTTTTGTCTTTTCCTTCTATTTGAAAGTTCCTTAATTTTTTTTCGCACCCAAATCTCAGGTGTCACGTTATGATTAATTATCACCAGCTCGCTTGCACACGCATTTTTTTTTCTTTTTATTAAGGAGAGGACATTTTTCTATGAGAGCTATAGGGCTGACGTCATGCTCCGTCCTATTACATTTAACCCCCTTGTGTGCTACAATCCAGTGCAAGGGGTGCCAAATTCCGAAGGGGGTCTTCTAAATTTGGCTTCATTCCTGAAAAAAAAAATTACTCTGTGGCCACTTGACTTTATCAAATATTCGCCGCTGTTTTTGAGGCATTGCACCCTTGATTACCCCTGGGCAATGCATACCATTTAAAAAAAAAATCACTGTATAGGGGAATGAAAGAGCATCATGAAAGATTGTGTTAAAATACTTGTACTTTACATTGAAAGTACATTGTACTTATAGTTCTTTACTTCAAGTACGTTGTTCCCAATGTATTTCATACAAATTTACTTAAAGTACATCACGTCTCATTTACTTTGTACTTTATTTACCTGAAGTATATTTTAGATGTATTTTACCCAACGCTGTCTGCGGCCTTATTTTCTGAAATCCGAATTTCGGTTCGGCATGCTAGGGATGCCGAACCGAAATTTTGATTCCACAAAACACGCGGTAAACGCGTGCAACGGGATGCTACAAACACCAAAACATCACTCATACAGCGATAATCTCGAACGGATGACCAAACTTTTCTAGAAAAGGAGGCGGATTTGACAGAGATGATGTCGTCATGTTTCTCCGAGAAGGAGGGGGAACGGCCTCGCGTCTTCTCCGCCTCGCCGCCTTGAGGGAGCGAAGCAAAGAGAGGAGGAAACTTGGTTTATTGACGTCACGCGCCTCGTCGGCCTGGTTCAATCTCGACCTCTTTTTCCAAAAATACGGCCATCCATTCGAGATATCGCCTTACGAGTAGCGGTGTAGGGATTGTAGCGTCCCGCCTACATCTCCTGCATTGTTTTTTCTGAAATCCAAATTTCGGTTCACCATCCCTTTAAGCTGGTTGCATGCACTTTTCAACACGACTTTATGAAGCTAACCTTTCGCGTCGTCAACAGGAAGGAGCGGGCGTCAGTGACAGACACGAACCCAGGAATGTATGCATGCATATACAACAATAATCCTGTGTGAAAGAGTTGTAAAAGACGTAAATAAAATTTGGAATGTTTTTCGTCTTTAGCGGTGGGTTACATTCGCAATCTCTCCCCCCCCCCCCCCCCCCCCCCCCCCTTCCCGATGATCCCCGTTTTTAGCGTCTGCATGAGAGAATTCACCAAAAAGCACCGGTATTGGTGAAATAAATAAACGCCGATAAACATCCGCCGATTTGTGTTATAAATAAACACCCTATGATGTATAATATGTTACTTCGATCACTCTCTTTTAAAATCGATTTTGTATTTCATTGCTAGTTTTCCACGTTGCATAAACGTGTAAAGTGCCAAAAATGCATTCTTTGCCTTGTGTCATGACAACTTTTCGCGTTGTTTCTCGCCAGCCATGTCTGCTCTTGAATCGCAGGGGAATTGCTCTAGAAGTATTCAGCGTCCTCACAACTATTTTAATGTTAAAATGCCTGAGCCGTTCAGCGTCGATTCATTTGATAGACGTAACACGGCGGCTTGAAACGCGAAATTTCGTCACGGCTGCTGATACCTCGGCGGACGTTTCACGTATTTTGAAAACATAGTACACGAGAGAAAATAAAAAAATTAATAAATTGCCCCATTTTTAATATTACCCCGAGAGCGTTGCGGTGAGAAGAGAACGACTTCAAGTGCGGATTTACCTTCGTCGACGCTCCAAAATCGGGTCGACTATCAAATCCAGGTTTATCAGACTTTCATTATGCCACACCAATTAATTTTGTAAAAAAACACAGCCGACAAGTGGCCGGGAAAAGGTCCGCACGCAGCGCATTTCGGCCCCAGCGCAGCCAAAATGCCGCTGACGCCGCGGTCGGATAGCATACAGGGCTTCCGAGGCGCCTCCTGGCGACAGATTTCCTTTTGGTGCCGCGCGCCGGCCGCCGCTCGACACACTCAACTCTCTAGCCACCATACTTCAATCTTTCTTCGCTATCCTCAATGAAGGGGAGATGAACACATACTGCCCTCCAGAAGCTGGAGTTTGTATGAACATAATAGACAGCAATTACCAACGTGTCAACGCCGGAGAAGCGAGACGCTCCTTTTTTCGTTCAACCCGGAAATTGACTAAAAGCAATGTTCCAACAACTGGAGGTGTTGCAGTAACAAGCATTCTCGCTCCATGCTGTTTGAAAGATATTAGTGGGGCACTTCCTATCTTTTTATCGAGAAGAGGGTTTTGACTCGTTTTTGTCCTGCTTTTTGCGGATCCTACCGCGACCGAGTTTTTTTAGAAACTTTTTCGTTTTTTTTTTTAGTTACCTTTTTAGCGCTGGCTCATATGAGAATAACCACATACGGCCTGTGGGTGCCTTGTTGCCTACATCCGTGTCGCATCTTTTTTTGTGCATAAGGTTTCTTAGAGCTCTCCGGAGCTCTAAGAAACCTTGTGCTTTTTTCTTTTACTTGCTGTTTTTATTATAATAAAGGACAGCCACTTACGCCTGCAGGTGCGATTTTTGTTGCCTACAAGGCACGTGCCTGTTTCTATAGGTCAAGTTTCTTAGAGCACTTTGAGAACGTAACAGTACTTTTGTTTTTATTTTTGTATTTCTGCTTCTACAACAAAAAAATGCACTATCACTCCAACAAGGATCTCAAAGTAAAACTTACCGCTGTTTTTTTTTTTTTTTTTTTTTCTAAAAATATCTAACCAGCATATGATGGCTCAACTAGGCTCGTGAGCTGTGACAATAGGAGTGGAGATTCCGGACTTGAGGCGAGAGGCCTGCTGGTTCTACAGTGAATCACCACCGATGGTATATAAACCGGGGGTGGCGTCATGAACCCTGTCTTTTGCGTTAGCCATGGAGGACCGCTGCCCGAAATCGCCGTGGCCTCAGCTAGTTTCTATGTTTTCAGTGAGCGAAATGAGGAGTGACGGTAACATCACCTTTGAATGTTTGCTTTGCAAACCAAAACAGAAGCTCTTGTCATGCGCGAAGTCGACCAACGCCAACTTGAGGAAACACGTTCAGGTAAGTTCACCTTGATTAGTTTCATAACGAGTATACTACACACGCATCTCATTTCCCTTGGGTGTCAGTTTCGCGAATATTTTGGTAGCACTAAATGTTTTCAGGGGGGTGCTATGCAATGTATTCAACATTGTAAACTTTGTAATCGTTTTTAATTGCGTATTTGCAAAAATTAGGACCTTCTAATATTAATCCTGTAGAAAGTAATCAATTTCCCACCTGCAATTGGGGTATACTGATGTAGTGTTGTTTTTGTTCTTTTTTTTCTTTTTAGCGGCAACACCCTAGCCAGCTGTCTGGCTTTGAAGTCTCCTAAAAAAAAGGAAGGCACCCGAGTCCCCATTGAGAGTTCAGAAGCAGCTGACAATTGGTTTTGAGAGAGGTGCAGTGTCGCAAAGCAAGCTTGACGACCTTATCCTGACATTCGTTGTGGACACGTCACAAGCATTTTCAGTTGTTGAAGCACCGAGCTTTGTGAAAATGGTGAAATCACTGGCGCCGAACTGCAGCGTTTTGACTCGAAGAATGCTTATGACGCGAATGGAGGCCAGCTGTGACGCAATGAAGCTGCGGCTCAAGGCAACTTTGGGAGAGGTGACATACGTGACGGTGACAGCGGACTGCTGGACGACCTTTCGACGGTAAGGGTTTTTGGTCACCTGCCTGTAGAAAGCGCACACATTTTTATAGCACTGATTCTTGCTGCTGTGTTGTAGGCACACCTTTTCAAAAGACAGTTATTTACTGAACCCTGAATTTTAGTATGCGTTGATCGATTTTTAACAAGCAGTAGCTGCTTTCTAATAATGCCGTATGTCTTCAGTTTGTTTCATAATAGCTTGGAAAACAGTTCAAGCTATCAGCGTGAGCTCAAATATTGTGTTTCTCAACTGCCTTTAAAGCAGACGTGACATATGGTGTCTTCCCCAAAGCACCGATCACTTTCGTCGTTTTCTGAGTCATACGGGGGGCGTGCCTTTACAGTGTTTCACTACTTATCTAAACCGTATTTCGGCTATGCCTGAGCTGCATGCTTTCAATTTGAGGCCTCGTGTAGCTCCAGCACTCGCTAGCTGCCTGCAGTAGTGCTTAGGCTGTGCGTGCCAGCGCGAAGGTCACAAGTCTCTAAGCGTTACAAGAGGTAGACAGCCCTTGCTAAAGGTTGGGCAGCTGGACGGTCTCCCTGACGTCTTTACCACCTTGAAGTAGACCAGTTTTTGGCCAACTGACCTTGTCGTTTTTGACAATTTTTTTTCTTTTTTATGTGTGCTTCTGTAGTTAAATGCTATTAAAACACGGCGTGTCTGGTATTGACCTGACGGAGCAAAATTGGCGACATATACGGGTTATCTTCTATACACCATTTCTTCATTACAGGAGCTACCTGGCGGCTACCGTTTCCTGGCTTGAGCCCTCCCTCAGCAGGAAATCCGCCGTTCTCCTCTGCCGTCGCATGACTGGACGAGTCACCTATGACAAAATTGCAGACACCCTCCAGAAATCCTTTGACGACTACGGTCTGCGAGGAAAGGTTACGAAGGTGATAACGGACAACGGTGCAAACTTCGTCAAAGCCTTCAGGTATGTCAATCGCACTTTAATTTTGTGGGCGCAAGTTCGGTTCAAACATTTCTGTTTACTTTTTCGTGCAGACTTTTTGGCGAAAAGGATGTCGAAGACGCGCATCACGACGAAGATGACGAAGCCTTCACCGAGGCCGTGGAGGTGGCGCCTTTGCTAGACAACGTACCCGCAGGCGAAGCCCGCTTTCCTCCTCATCATGGGTGCTCTGCACACACCTTGAACTTGGTAGCGACGGCGGATGCGTCGGAGGCTGAGCGGCACGAGATTTTTTCAAGGCCCCTTAGATCGGTCCTCGGCACGTGTCGTGCATTAAGCGCGAGACACATGCGCGAAAAATCCATCCGATCCGACGTCCGATCCGGCAATACGACTGCCTGATCCGAAAAATTTGGTAGCGCGAAACACATGTACGACGAAACCGTCCGATCCGACGTCCGACCGCGCAATCCGACGGTCGGAGGCGAGGGTTTTCAACGCTCTCCGATGCTACGAACACCCTCTCCCCCCAAGGTCATTCCGGCAGTCCGCACGTCGGATCGGAAGGTTTTCGTCGTACATGTGTTTCGCGCTTTAAAGGGACCATGAAATGATTTTAAAATCGAGTTTCATCCACCGCACGTCGTAAAAGGTGTGAAAAGAAACACAAAAACACAAAAATAGGGAGCCCAAAAAAATTATTTGCTATAGAACTTTTAAAAGAAAACTGGACTCTTTTGCGCCTTCCTTCCTTCGCCTGTTCACTACGATGCATACGCAGAATCGGTGCACGTCAGCCGAATCCACATCGCCTATTGGGTAAGAGCCTACCTCACCAGCACCGCGATCGTAAACAATAAATAGCCGGCGAATGTTTCCTAAAAGTTTTGTTAAATAATATTCAGATCCACATTTTGTAGCATAATTAGAGATGTGTGGCGAAAATTGCCAAATTTGATAATGCTGAGAGCCAAGCGCCATCTATCGTGTGGTAAACGAAGCAACTACTGCGCGTGCGCAGTAGGGCAGGGCCGCCAGTTACTTGGGTGACGGCGACCGACGAACATTTATTTTCTTTGTTTTCCTTCCTCTCAAAACTCTGACTGACTGAACGTTTATTTTTCTACATGTTCTTCCCGCGCGTGCCGACTTCAAGCAGCAAGAAAACAGTACTTAAAACAGACCACGACGAACAAGAACGCTGGATTCACCGACTCCGACGAAGCGTATAGGCCTAGCAGGCATTCCGACTCGGCGCTGCGTTGCTTCGTCGCAAGACCGTCTGCCTACGACCGGCTGGCGTGCTAAATGGAATATGCCCGCGCGACCCTTGTGGACCCTTCCCGTATTATAGTTTGATCACTGACCTCAATTCTAGATTAAGAGGTGAGGAGGTCAATCTCTTCCCCTTGTTTTCCGAGGCAGTGTTGACGAACACTCGTCGAAAAGGGACTCTCGTCGATTCTATCTTCTTGTTTTGTGTGATATAGAGCTGAAATAAACGCCGTACGGATTGCCTTCGTAACACGGTATGTACACTTTGTTATTGGTATGCCATTTTTATTCTGACAGACTGCACGTCACTGTCGACCCCGGTCCAACCTTTCTTTGCCGAGTGTCGCGTCAGTATCGAGTTGCAATCGTAAAAGAACGGTCCCGAAGCGCTTACCAACAGCGCGAATACAAGACTTCCATCAAGCGCGCGCGTCCGCTCCGAGTGTAAGCAGGTATTTACGTGGCTCTTGCTGACACTCGTAGTTCAAACGTATAGGGACACTGACACCCCCCCAAAAAAAAATTTTATTTTTTGCCAGGCGCTTCATTATGGTGTCGGAGGACTACCCAATTAATATTTTGCAACAGAGTAGCGTATTTTTTTAATAAAGCCAAAAGACGCAACTCCTCGAAACCGAAACCGAAACCCGACGGAGGTCGGAGAAGTGGAGAGAAGAGAGTGAGTGGCGGAAGTCACGTAACTACGCCCTACCGTGCGTTTTTTTTTTTTTTTTCTCCTCTTCGGTAGCAGACGACAGGACATGCGGCGTGCGATGGGGCGTGCGGGAACTGCTCGCCGTGCGATTTTTTTGCAGTTATGTTTGTTCCGCTCGTTGTTCTGTACTCCAAAATGAGTTGTTTTGTACCTTGAGGAGTTGGACATGAGTAGTAAGTGCCCGTGGTGAATTTCCATGATCGGCTTCGAAAAAAATACACCCAAGATGTTGCGTGAAGAGCTGGCTCACATTTCCTGAATCCGAAAAAAAGTGGCATTGTGCGACAGAGTTTCCGAAAGATCAACGGGATCGGGACCAACGGCTGGCTGCAATTTCTGTAAACCATTTACGGGCACCTCGGAAAGCGGACGTTACCTGATTTATATGCTCCTTGCATTTTGTGGAAAGTGATTACATTGAGCTCGCAGGTGTCAAAACGGAAATCCCATACCATTTAAATCAGCGAAGTATCGTCCACAACATTAGTTTGTTATTTTTTTGTTTGTTTCTTCAGTGATGATTGTAAAAATATATATATATATGTAAACATCGAAAAATGTTTGAAGAAAAAAAAAAATTAAGTTCCACGGGGGATCGAACCCGGTGCTACCGCGTGTAAACCGGACGTCTTTCCCACTGAGCTACTGGCGCATCGCTCTTCTGGAGGATCTCTTTCCCTAGTAACAATTCAGCCGGTAAACTGTAAGTTGGAAAGTTTGCTGTCGATTTTTCTCTAGCAAAAGCACTCCTGGGTCGAAGTCGGGAAGCACCACGCTTTGGGGACATTCGCACCTAGTAAAGAAATCGTACGCGTGCATATTGAACTCGAAGTAGACACGTCGTGCTTGACGTTTGCGCGAGCGATGTCTTCAGCCACGAGAAGGGATCAACGGCTCGGCGACGTCTTCGTGCAAATCGGCTTGGTGGCCGGGCGTGTCGTACGGGATGAATACCAATTCTTTTGATCACTCCTAAATTTCTCTTTTAACGGTAGACAGAATTCGCCGGTACCCGCGAACGACAGTTCTGAAATAGAGGTCCCACGCCCGTCGTCCGCTGCCATCGCCGTCCCCGCGAGTCCCACGATACGCGAAATGACGAACGCACAGAATGCTTCCGGTTGTCTGTGGAACTTTTTTTTTCAATCAACGTATTTACAGCTTTTTAGAAGCCACAAAAAAATGGGTTTCATATTTTTTTCTATTTTTAATAATGAGTGTGTGCCTTCAGTGACCCACGACTTTGATTAAATTTGGTGGTCGCATCGATACCTTAGAAAACGGCCCGTGACCGCGAAAAAGAGAGTGAGCGAGACTCGAACCGGCCAGTTCTTGATCGGCGGTTTTCGGGCGGAAAGAAACCGAATTTCGAGCCGCAAATTCTGTTCTGGGTAGTTGAGCTCTCATATGTCACGTAAAACTAAAAACCTCAGCGAGCATAAATACCCTGTCAGTGTCCCTTTAACGTCGGCTCGCTCCTGCATCTCCGAGGCCGCGAAAAACGCCATCTACGTCGCTTTGCAAACGACTGACACGGGCCGGCCCTTCTGCCAACAATGACGGGGTGGTGACAAGACTCGCTGCACTTCCCAACAGGCATACCGGCGTATGGGACTAGTCCCATGCTGTCGCTGTAGCGCAACATATCTCATTGAATTTCGCTCAGCTGCGATGCGGCGATGAGAGGCGCCGATTCAGGAAATACGTCGGTGACATCAGCGCAGTAAAACCTACCGGCGCACCCCAACTCGTTGCCGCTAACAGTCCCATTCTCCTACTGCCGAGAGAACTTCCGGTTCCGGAAACGGTCTACGTCACGGCTTCTTTTGCGGTCAGTTGGAGAGAATGAAAAAGTCGATATTTCAATAATTTTTTGTGTAAAAGTTAATAAACCGAGACGAAAACGGATGCCTGTTCGGCATTCAGTGAACATTGACGGTTTAATGTAAAAGTTATCTGGAAAAAGTAAAAAGGTCATTTCATGGTCCCTTTAAGCGCGAGACACATGCGCGAAAAATCCATCCGATCCGACGTCCGATCCGGCAATACGACTGCCTGATCCGAAAAATTTGGTCGCTTCAGGCGTCGGATCGGCGATCCGACGTGCGTCCAACGCGCCAGATAGTTTCGCACGGCGGACGGATTGTCGGATGCGTCCAGCCAATGACAGCACAGCTAGCGCGAACGTCATGATGACGTACTGGGTCTGGCGGGACGAATAAGAAACCGGGACGGGCGACAGGAAGCCGGACGCCCGTGGATCCCGCTGACCCATTCGAAATAGATGGCCCCGGCAGAGAATGCACGCGCTAGCGAGAACGAGCTCCTAACTTCGCTCGTGCAAGCTAAACTGTCAATCTGGGACCAGAGATCTATGAACGCGAACCTCCGATGGAGTGCTTGGATCTTTTGGGCGGAGCCGAACGGATCGTCGTGTCGCAAGCAAGGTCGGAAGCGTGTGTCTCAAACTGTCGCGTGCGGCAATTCGGAGCGGCGTTCGGACTGTCGGTTCGGACGTCGGATCGGACGATTCTGCCGTCCATGCAAACAAGGGCAGTCGGCCATCGCAGCGGAAGCCATCATGAAGTACAGCGGGAAGAGCCTCCTGAGACCAGTCTCTACGCGGTGGAATTCATTTTTTGACGCCCTAGACTGCCTTACTGCCCTGGACTGCGATGGGAAGGACATCGACGGACTGTGCAGGGCGCTGCATGTGCCGCAGTTCCAGCGACCGCGAGACCTTCTGTTCATGAAGGAATACTGTGAGGTAAGAAAAATATTCTTATTTAATTTTTACCAGTGTACGACATTGAAAGTCAATGTACGACATCGGTGTGCCACTTGAAAGCACGTGTTTTTCAGCCCACGTATGTTTGAATGCACAGGTTAGCCATAGCGATCAGTTACGTTTCGTTTGTGCGCAAACGCCTCTCAAAGCGTTTAGAAGGGAAATCGGTGGCCGAGTGGGTTAGTGCACCTCAGCTCGGAACACGTAGTGAAAACTCTCGCTGCAGAATTTCTACCCCTGCCCGTTTCGATTTGGATAGCATCGTGCCGGCGAACGGTCGTGTATCACTACTCCGAGGTGCACGTTAAATACCCTAGGCTAACAGCTGTACTGCACTGGCTAAATTGCTCATCTACAGCTGATATACCAGATGTCCATTATAATGACTAACTTCCGACTGCATAAGGATACATACAAGACAAGCAGACACGTAGCCAGGATTTTGTTTCGGCGGGTGGGGGGGGGGGCTCGCCCATGGACAAAATGCTGTATGAGGGGCACGTAGCCATAACCCTTTCCCCTGGCTACGTGCCTGAACACAAGTATTATTTTCAAGGCACCTTGAAATGCTGCAATACAATATTTCTAAGCAAATCCAAATGCGCGTTTACGTCCACTGGTGCGAAGGAAACCGCGGTGCTGCATTCTTGCGTAAGACGCGTCTATTGCATGAGAGCTAAGCGTGCATAATTGAGCTGTGAAATATTAAAGATCAGAACCGCTCAAGGCTGCATGCTCACAATAGAAGCCCGAATCTCAGAACATATTTTATAACAGATCGTAATCTCGATTATATAATATATAGGGACCTTTAAATATATTTTTTCGGCGGGAAGTTTCCGGAAATATTCATCTCGGCATCCCCCCCCCCCCCCCCCCCCCAGTGCAGGTTCCCTTGAATACTAATTTTCGTGAACGCTAGGTTTTATGAACAAAAAATTGCAATGCGAAAACTAGAATAAATATATTGTGGTCACAATTCGACATGCACTTATGAATAATCTATATGTGGTTTAAACTTATTACTTAATATTTGGTAGTCTTGGGAAATGGCGTTACCCCAATGTCTGCTCAAATTGTGAAGATATATTTATTTGTGTATTCCTACGGAGTAAACAGGTCCTGAAAGTAATGCGGATTGAATCCGTATCGCATAACGCAAAATAAAACAGCGCAACAACTAAGAAACGGAGACAAAATTAACAAAAAGGCCGAGACACAGGGCTGTGCCTGTTTGTGCCTTCCTTGTTTCTCCTGTCTCATTTTTTTTTTTTTTTTGCGGTGTTTTAATTTGTAAGATGATCAACCAACTCGCACAACTTTCTGCCTCGCTGCCGTATGGCATGCTTAATAATATGTTTTTTACTGCTACGTAACTCGTGCAGGTCATGAAACCTCTGGCGTGCGCCATAGACGTGATACAGAAAGACGAGAGCATGTACATCGGGTATTTGCTCCCAACAATAACCGTCTTAGAACTGCGTCTTCGCCACCTGGATAACACTGGACTGCAGTTCTGCCGGCCCCTGGTCCATGCGCTTTTAAACGGCATAAAGAAGCGGTTAGTATGGCATACGTGCGCCTACATTTACTTGTTTTAACATTCGGTCTATATGTGGGAGCGCCCTGATGTTTGCATTGGTTGTGTGTCATAATATTAAAATCAGATTTTTGTTTCGCATTTGCAACGCACATTTTGAAAACAGCTTAGCCACCGGCGTCTTGACCGAGGTTCATTCTCTCCAAATTGGCGATATTTGTGAGATGATTTATATGTAGATGCACATATTGGTCTTCCAGGTTTGATCACTTGCACGGCGACCGGGAGCTCCTGCTGGCCTCAGCGCTCATCCCGCGCTTCAAAGCGAACTGGGTCACCGACCTCGCGAGGCGTGAAGCTCTCGCCGAGTAGCTGACGGACGAGCTGAGTCGCCCTTGCTATAGGAGTACCACTGCGATTGGCACGCCATCTATCCAGGAAGACGGCGCGGACCACTCCTCCGGCGATTACTTCAGCTTTGCAATGACAACGGCGTCAAGTTCCATCTCCCAGAATGAAGCTTCGCGTATCCTCCAGGACGCAGAATGCACTTCCATCGCCTCACTTCAGAGGTACGATGCCGTGCGTCAAGCATTTGTGCGCTATAATACTGCGCTCCCATCCAGTGCCTCAGTGGAGAGGGTATTCAGCGTGGCTGCTGACATCTTTACAAAGAAGCGGGGAAAGATATCGGATGCAACTTTTGAGAGTCAGCTACTGCTGAAGATCAACAAAGTGTGACTTGATCAAACAATCAACAATTTCATAATCTATAATGTTCTTCGTTTGTCTCCTATTAATAGTGCAGTAAAGTTGAAAGTAACGGCCGCGAAAGTAACGGATTACTTTTCGGAGTTACGGTCACTTACTTTTACGGAAGGGTAATTGTAATTGTAATAAATTACATTTCAGACCTGAGTAACTGTAACTGTAATTCCCTACTTTTTTTTAGTAACGTGTACAAGTCTGGGCAGAGGCTCGTCAAGCAACAACTGAGTTTGTTTTTTCTCTGTCTCCCCTCTCCAAGTGGAGAGAAATAAAGAGTTTGAGTTTGACGTTCCAGCTCCCGCTGGAGAAGTGGCGTCACTAGGGTCAGCGGCACCCGGGGCAGTAGCTTGCCGCAATAACCCCCCCCCCCCCCCCCCCCCCCCCCAGCCCAGCCCTTGTGACGGCACTACGCTAGAGGCTGCAGGTTTCGGCCACAAAAGAAAACTCGGGCTTTGGTCTGACCCGATAACATACAATGGGGTTCCTAAAAACATACACAATAATATTATTATAAAACACTGTCTAAAAATCAACCTTAGGCAGTGCTAATCTTCAAACCAGAAATGACACATTTGCAGTACATCATTGACCAAACAAACAAGAAGGTGCAAAACAATTAGGCACGCAGAAACAGAACCAGCTTTTAAAACATTCCTTTGAAAAAAAAAAAAAAAAATTCCGATCCCTATTTGGCTAGCACAATCTCGCTAGCGGATGAAAACCTATGCACTTTCTTTTTACCATAAAAACATATAAAAGTAACTTCAAAATAACTTCAAAAGTAATTCGCTACTTTTTACGGTAATTAGTAATTTTCTGAATTACTTTCCATTTGAGTAATTTCTACTTTACTCAAATTACTTTTGAGGTCAATACTCAGTAACTTAACTTAATTACTTTTTTTTAGTAACTTGTACATATCTGGCTCGACCACAACGTGGCATTGACGGCCCATGTTTCCCAAAAAACACTAGGATATTAGGATAATCGTGTTTGGCTGCCGGATGGGACGCCGGCGGAACGGTTTCCACTGGACATCGGGTTTTCTTTGAGCACCGGTGCCGTACGTAAAGGAAGGTAAACCCTGGACGACTCCTTTTATATACATATATATCCCCACAGTGTTTATACTAGTTTCCAGGAGCCAACCATTGGTCTCTGTCCTGGCATACTTCGGTGATGATGATGAATAATAGTGATGATGTTGATAAAAATAATGATAACAATAATGGGAATAGTGTTGCGTAAAGTACATCTAAAAGGTACTTGAAGCAAAGTACAAAGTAAATTAGAGGTAATTATGTACTTCAAGTAAAGTAGTAAGTACTACTGAGTGCAATATACTTGAAGTAACATACTATAAATACAATATATTTCAAGGTAAAGTACCAGTACTTTTAACAGAATTTATCATGATGCCCTTTCATTCCCCAGTTTTTTTTTGTTTTTTTTTTTTGTGACTGGTACGCATTGCTCCAGGGGTAATCGCAAGTGCATCAGTTTTTTTACGGAAATGACAGCAAATATTGTATCAAGTCAAGTCACCACAGAGTAGTTGTTTTACTCTCGCTAACGAGCTATTTGACACAATCAACTTATAAGCCACTTATTTGTGTCGGTCTCACCATTACTTCACTCAGAGAAATGACCAGATGACGTCTTGAAAAAGTACATTTTCACACGACGATACACCATTTTTTTTTTTTTTTTTTCAAATTCGGGGAATGTACATTGAAGTCGGGATTTTTACTTTCTTCGAGAAGTACAAGTACATGCCCAGATGTACAGAGTCGGATCCGATCGAGAAAAATAAACCCTACTTTTCGGCCCACGTAAAAAGAACTACGCATCGCAGAACGCTCGAACTCCGCCAGAATGTAACCCTAGCGGTCTAAGCAAGATGCCTAAGTTTCAGCCCGATCCGATAACTTAATGAAAAGTTATAAGTGATTTTCTGAAAATTTCAATGGGAAACTGGAGCCCATTTTTGCCCGTTTTCGGTTTCTGGTGCCATAGAGCCCCATGTGTTTCAAAACTCCGTCGGCCGCCATTTTCCCATTGAAATTTTCAGAAAATCACTTATAACTTTTCATTAAGTTATCGGATCGGGCTGAAACTTTGGCATCTTGCTTGGACCGCTAGGGTTACATTCTGGCGGAGTTTGAGCGTTCTGCGATGCGTAGCTTTTTTTTTTACGCGGGCCGAAAAGTAGGGTTTACTTTTCTCGATCGGACCCTATACTTCAAGTGAAGTACAAGTTTTCTAAACAGTAGTACTTTAAGTACCAGTACCTCCCGACACTGCTTGCTTATTATTTTTTATATAAAAACGTTGACGGAATTGCTAAGGTTTCTCCAACGATCTTCAAATCTCTGAAGATCTGCATATTCTATGTTTTGGGAGGAAAGGCAACGCAAAGGGGTCCCCTTTGCGTTGACCTTTAGCACGCGATTCTTCGATTACAGCACAAACTACGGGAGCACCAGATGAGCGTCAGAGCAGGTGCTGCATTTTGTAGCCTCCTTTGAGTGAGGATGCAGTGTGAGCACCTCCTGTACAAGGGCGAGAGTTTCTACGTAGGGGAGAAGCGGGAACCAGTCTTTTCTTCGAATGGGTCAGTCTCCTTGAGATTTGGGACACAAAGAAACGCCAGTCTTCGGCATTAATCCCGCAGTTACTCGGCCTCTCTTGCGTCGTGCCTGTTCGCTCCCCGCGTTTTGTAGCAGTGTTGTTGCAGAGGGGGGGAGGGGGGGAAGGGGTAATTTTGGGAGGTTTCGAACTCTCCAACATATTTTCTTTCCCTCCCCCCTTTCCTGTGCCACATGCTTCCCCCTCTTTGCAAATATCAGCTGATCTTCCAACTTCTTATCTCTTTTGTACAGGAATGTTTGTTGATAGGCAAACCAACCACTAAAATTTGGAAGTAATTTGTAACTTGAGTAGAAGTTACTCAGAAAAAGTAATTAAAGTAAACTACTAATTAACGAAATCGAAATGTAATTGAAAGTTACTAAACTACTCAGAAAAGTAGTTGAACTACAGTAACTTGAGGAGAGTAGTTGAACTACGTGCAAGTCTGGGTCGAGCGGGCCGCGGGCGCACGGAGCCCACGATGTCCGTCGACCGGAGAAGCACGGGAAACGTGCGTACCTCATCGTCATCGGGCGCTCGGACACGCATCCCGTGAAAAGATCCCCTCATAGTTCATACTACGATGAATTTATCCAACAAATTTATCTGAACAAGGAATTTATCCATGTTCAGGCAAAATTAGGCGTGGGTGAATATTCGAGTCTCGAATTCGAATCGAATAGTGATTCACCGAAGAATCCAATTTTAGTATTCGAATTTTCGAATAATACGACATTTATTTATCTTGAAATACTGTCAACCCTCATTCGGATTTCAATAATTCAAAGAATAAAACATCGAGGACGGGGACGGAAACGGGACTTCTTTCTGTCAACCACATTATTTCTGCACCTTCATTATCACTGACAATGACAGAAGTCGAATTCCTTGCGCAAGAGATAACTAGATTACTGATACCTTATCCTGACGCAAGCGCTTTTTAAACTTTTATATTTATAGTACATTCCTTTTCCTTTTTAACAATTTTCGCCTTTCCTTCTTCGAGAACGTTGGAACCTTTGGAGGGCGGTTTTTATATTTTATGTCATTCTATGTTGTTGCTCGAAGATGAAAGAAGTCCTGTTTCCGTCCCCATCCTCGATGTTTTATTCTTTCAATTATTCGCATGTATGTAAACGACTTATTTTTCGCCAGCTCACTATTTCGCAATTTAGGTCAAAGCTGAAGTTTTGAAATAATTCGCGAATTATAATTTTCGCGACGCGGTGGGATCTCAATATAGATTCCAGTGTGTTTAAATTTTACCTGAATTGTTCGCGGGTTCTATTTTTCGCGAAATTTAAGCGATTCGCGAAAATTAAGTCGTTTACAGTGTATATATATATATATATATACAGGGTGATTCAAGGAGACGCCAGGCTCTTTAAATCGACCGCGAAATTCGGTTCCTTAACCTATCGCGCTACGACTTCGTGCAACGTTGCCCACAGATTTTGCATTTTTTTTTTTTTTTTTAATTTGCAAAGAGCGAATTTACCTGAGGAAAAAGTAAAGAAAGAAAAAGGCTTAGCTCCTATGGAAACGCAACGACGCCACCGGTCTGCAAACAACACGGCGCCGTTTCGCACGGGAGACGAGAGATGGCGCAAGCGGTCGCGACGCCAACTGCCGCCAACGAACGAGCAGACGACGCCGAGAGCCGGCGTCTTTAGCAGACAAGGAACTGCAGTTCCTTATTGTCACCGCGCCTGTTTTTGTTTCTGCGACTGTCACCGCCTGCGGAACGTGCGCCGCTTTTGAGTCGAAAAAATCGTCTGCTAAAGAGGCCGGCTCTCGGCGCCCGTATGCTCGTTCGTTGGCGGCGTTCGTTGTGCCATCTCCTGTCTCCCGTGCGAAACGGCGCCGTGTTGTTTGCAGACCGGTGGCGTCGCTGCGTTTCCATAGGAGCTAAGCCTTTTTCTTTCTTTACTTTTTCCTCAGGTAAGTTCGCTCTTTGCAAATTTTACAAAAAAAAATGCACCATCTGTGGGCAACGCTGCACAAAGTCGTAGCGCGATAAGTTAAGAAACCGAATTTTCCGGTCGATTTAAAGAGCCCATGGCGTCTCCATGAATCACCCTGTATATATATATAAGTGGGATTGCCCTTAAAAGCTGCGTCAGGAGCGACGCTTTTTCTCATTTGATCCTCTGGATCAAAAATAAAACAGTAGCGTTAAAGGCCGGCGTACAACATCGGGTTTCTGCATGGAAGATAATCCTCTTAAAGCTGCCCTCTCCTCGAAGGGAACTAAGTCAACACCCCTACAGATAATAAAGCAGTCCTACTGGAAGAGATGTCGTCATCAGCGAAGGCCAACGCTGGTCATAGATTGGACACGACGATTGCGTCAACGTTCGGCTCAAACTTGACTCGAAGTCCAGCGCCGACGCAGCACGTTTCCAATCTGTGGTTAGCGTTGGGCCTTCACTGGTGACGCAAAGATGTCAGCACTATAGCCTTGTCTTGTAGGCGGTGTTGGCCAAGTCGCCGAGTTGGGGCTTTGTAAAAAGTGGAGAGGATATAGGAAAGGAGGAGGCGGGCAAAAGTGGAAAGACCGAAGTGTACAGCGGCCTTTATAAGGTGTAAGGAAGCGAACTTTTAGCCCTATTTCTTTGTCTAGACGTGGTCTCTTCTATGACAGCAGCTCAGAAAAAACAGCATTTCGTTCGTAAACGCAAGAAAAGCAGTTTTAAACCGAATTTTACGATTTTTCAATACCACCAGGTAGTTGAGGGCACGAGCTTCGTTGGAATGCCTGACGTCACGGATCCATTAGTAGCAGCGCAACGGCGCGGCTGTGCCCGGCGGAGGCGCCCGAGAACGAGCGGAGCTTGGCACACCCACGCCACCGTGGGCACACCTCTCAGTTCTAGTTAGAGATGTCGCCAACTTTTTACAAACCTGAGGTTCGAAGACCGAAACAAGGCATTTCTAAAGGTTCGTAAAGTTTCGAAACGTCAAGCCTACTACACAAGAATTCGACTATTTTCGAACTTTGGATTTTCTTTTGTCGCTGAGACACTCGATCGTTGGCGAACTTCCGATTTTTCACGCTATAAAATTCGACATTTTCGAACTTATTACGTTAAGAAAATCGACAATTTTCGAATTTGCTGAGTTCAAAAGATCGACGAACTTCGACCTCCTGAACAAAAGTTCGACAAAGTTCGAACCCAGTTCACCTCCCATAGGTTCCAGGCATCAAATATACATAAAACAAGATGTCAAAATGTGGAGTTGAAATAGAGTCTTACCGTTAGTTGATCGTGCCACCAACGACGCGCTTATAAAGCACTGAATGATCGCTTTGGGGTGGCCTCGCGGCCTCGTACCTCACACCTTTCGACTTCCGCACAGAGCCTCCCCCGCGCACAACGCCGTAAGTTGCCCCGAGGTAATCTGTAGGGCAACAGATCCCTTATTTGCAGTCTTGAAATTCAACCGAGGCGCTTCGATGGGAGCGTCCTTCATGGCATTCGTTGGTTTTGAACGAAAGGCCCTCGACTTCCTCGCGTCAAGGAAAAGCGCGAGCGGAGAGCGACGCCGATGCGCTACAGCGAACGCTGAATCGGCGCTTACTCCATTATCGTTAGTAAGCGGCTGCATTTTCAAGCGGCCAATATCTCCATTCATCGAAGAAAAGTTCCAGGCAGCGGCAATAAGCTTAGCCCGGTAACAGCCGATCGTGACCTGATCAGCTGTATTAGGTCCGGTGGTCCCCTAATTTAGTCTGGTTGCATTCTTCTCAACCTTGACTTTTGTCAGGTGCTGTGACTGTGTTCAGTGTTTGCTGCAACCCACGGGTCATCTCGCCGATAATGAACACCCAGAGCAACTAAAAATTTTCGGGAAGCCTGAATGCCTTTTTGCAAATGCGTTGTCCCGCATATTTAGTTATCTTATGCCAGCATTGCATTTAGGCGACGTTCGATTTATATATAAACGTTTGTGTTATTTTCTTGGTGCTTTTTCCTCATCTCTCTGTATTTGCTCTTTTGTTAGCGTATTGAGCCTGCATCTGTGGCCTTGGCTTTTTTTTCTTGTGAGCTGTTCGATCGCAACCGCGTCAAGTCTGCAATCGCTCAGCTTTGCACTGGGGTGCGACAATTTCTTTTAAAGATTTCAAAATGCATTTTAGATAATGAGTACGAGATGCCGAACAATGTAATCAAGACAGGGTTACAAATACTTTCGATCAAACGTACTTGCAAGATATCAAATTGCTACCTGGAGTATTTGAAATACAGTACCTTGAGTAGAGTATTTGAGATAGACGCAATTCACCAAAAGTAAAAAAAAAAAAAAAGAATTGTATAAAAGGGTAAGTTCACACAAGTTAGAACTTAAAAAAAAAAATTATCGGCTATGTTTTGCTGATTTGTGAAACCATCCAATGACACGATAGATCAGCGTTGCGTTTATTTTGGCAAAATGAAGGGGATAAACTGCGAGAAAATATAAGCTATTTTCTGTCTAACGTAGAAATTTGGGGCTAGTTGGTAATTCATGATTAAAAATTAAAACAGCGCAAGGACACGGACAAGAACAAGAAGGTAGATGTTAGCACGAATAAACTTTAGTTGTAAGTCAGCGCCTTGTCCGTCTACCTTCTTGTTCTTGTCCATGTCCTTGCGTTGTTTTAATTTTTAATTATTTTCTGTGCAACAGTTTTCTTACTTATTCCTTTTCACTCGAGTGAGCACGAAATGCTCATCCATTCAAATGACAAATGTACCACGAACATGCGCCTCTGTAGTAAATCGTAGCATGGTACCAACGCGCTAGCATAGGCCGCCGCGTAGGCGGTAGTTCCACATGTACCCCAATGCCACAATGTACCAGTGCCACAATGCACCGAAACATCCGCCTTTCTGCTGGTTTATTATTTTTTTTTAATACGTCAGTTTCAATTGCATTGGATGAAACGCCCTTGTCTATCGAAAGGAATAGCAGATGTACTATTTTCGATGCAGGCCACGGTGGCACGGTGGAATAATAATGTTGCGTGCACGTTTATACAGCCGGAAGTTAGTCAGGCTAAGTGGGGCGCCTGGCGTCTCAGCTGTAGATGAGCAATTTAGTCAGTGCGGTACAACCGCTAGCCTGTACGATGCTCATTCAGATCGAAACGGGCAGGGGTGGGGATTGAACAAAGAATCCCTGGGTTCTGCAGCGCGAGCTTTTGCTCCACGTGCTCCTAGCTGGTGTGCGCTAGCCACCAGCCCTGACACCAGAAAGGTATCTGAACAAGGCCAGAAAGGAGGCCGAAATTTTCCTTGGGCTTCGCGCATCCCCTGTCAGGGGCACTGCCTTTTTCCTGCAGAACAACACTGCGGCGCAGCGATACGAGGTGTGTGCTGAGGCGCTTCCCGCATGCTGTTCAATGGGCGGAACGCAGAAGGCTGGTTTTCTCCAGCGCCCACGAAAAGAGTGTTTTTTTTGTTTTTTTTTAAGTTCGTAATATGGGTTTGAGGTATTAAACTGCCGAATGCTTTATTGCAGACCTTGATGGTGGACCGCCGACAGACCTTCTGGAAATGTGGCTCCGGTGGTGTCGAAAGTGCACTCGAGAAATTCAGATTGTGGGTGGGGGAGGGTAAAAACGGAATGGAGATGCTTTTTTTTTTTTGTTTATTAGAAATGTCAGTAATGCCCCTGGAGAATTTGTCGCCACTGCACGGCGATTCACGCAGTAAGGGCCAACGTCCTCAGAAGTGTGGCATGCAGACCTTGCCGGCGAACAGCTCCGAGATCACGGTGATCCAGAGGGCGAGCACGAAGAAGATGTAGGACAGCCCCACCTGGTGGCTGCTGGGCAACTGGTACGGCTCGCCACCAATTTCGTCCATGGTGAAGCCCACCGGGAAGATGACTGCCGCCAGGCAGAACAGGAGCACTGCGACCACAGTACAGAGCCGCTCGCACACTGAAGCACAGACACCAGAGTTTACGCCGGTTCACATATGCAGCGCAGTGCAGAAATGTCGTCAGCGCTGACTCAGCGCTGCATTGCGCGTGTAAACGAAAAAGAAAGGCCGTTTTTTATGCAGCGGAGCGCTGACAGTTTTAGTGGACCGTACGCTAAAGTTTTGCGTACCCTAATGCTTTGCGTACGCAAAGACATTGCGGGTCGAGAGTGCGCATACACAGAAAGCAATAGAAGGGCTAGCGTATTGCGTACGCACGCAATGCAGGGGATTTTGCGTTGCGGGCTAGCGGGCTTTGCGGGAAGCTCCTGAGAAATCTCGGGCCCAGAGAGAGCACCAGTTACCAGATGGCGGTTACCTCGATTGGCGCAGCAAGGGCGACGTGGTGTTCGCGAAGTTCAGTGTTACGTGAAATTGCATGGTGTTCAGCTCGGAAATTCGTTCCAGGGCCTACCGCGGTCGAATCAGATCGCTGTGCAGCCGAAGAAGTGCACATTGAAAATGTTCACCGCTCGCAATGTGCGTGAATGCTGCGATTTAAGTCTCTTCGCGCAGTTCATCGCCGACGGACGAACGACTTTAAGAAATCGCCGAGTTGTCGCTGTGCAATGGACATCAGTAGGTCACGGATTTCTTCCCGCGGTAGCATTGATAAAATGTGCCGTTTCCATGGGACGACTGACAGTGGCTCCGTGATTGAATCTGGCTACAAACTCGTAATCATAGCCTCCGTACCCTGCAGAAACGCGTTGCAGAAGTTTCTTGGTTGGCAGTGAAATCACATTCTCATTCGGATAATGTATTGCACCAAGAACATAATCACTATAGGTATAGTTAATTTCAAATATACATGTTTTTATTGCATACCTCCATCTGAACTTGCTGTTGATGCTTACATGTCGGAGGTACATAAGATTGCATTCTAGTTTTTTGTTTGTTGTTTCTGTCTTGGGTTTTTCACGGCCAACACTTACCTTTATAGTTTTTTTTTTTTTTTTTTACCAAATGAATGTAGTGTTTATTTTTCCTTGTTCCTTTGACTTGTTTTTCTTGTTTTACCTTAATTGTATGATGCTTTGTGGAATCTGTTATTAAGTGACTATTTTGAGCTGCTGAACTTTATGGGGCAGAGACTTTGTCAGGCACCACGCCTTTATCTCTGCCCTTTACGCGGCAAACCCGCTAAACAAATAAAGAAAAAAAATTAAGGGAGACCTTTAGAGGTCATTATCCACCCAAACATCGCGCACCTGGCAGCTAAGTTGAGAACTACACCCATGTGGACAACAACATAAATTATTTGTTTGATTTTCTAACGCAGAGCTCGTCCAACGTAGCCAAACTCCGCGTCGGCGTTCGGCTGGGGCTCGAGTTCAATCAGCGGAGACTACTTCCATAAAGCCCTGCATGCAACACGGCGCGCGTTGCACTCTGGGAACTAGTTGGCCAGGGAGGAGGGCGGCATGGTTTCGGTTTCGATCGACACGTCAACAAGAAACTATAGACCTTTTCATTTCAGTAGTTGCCTGACCGGCGGGTAGAGGGCGCTGGCGCATTCGGCGCCATTAGGTTGCTTCAATTTGGTCGGTTTCGGTTTCAACGTACACGCGATTGTGATGCTGTTTCATGCCACTTTCGATTTATTTTGCGATATGGTTTTTTTTTTAGTAGCCCACAGCGAATGAAACAATAGTATTGAGCCACTTGGCCAAACACGAAGTGGTTTCGAGCCTAAATTGCGATCATCTTTTTACTAAACTATATGCGTCTGATTCCGTCCATCATTAATTTCGGCCAGGTTCGGCGGTGAAACAACTGCGCTGATGCGCAGGGAAAAGTATCATTGTCCACGGCCGTACCCGCGGACGCTAATTTCAAGAAAAAAAAATAAAGAGCAGGACAAGCTCCGCCTGCAGCGTGCGTCCGCTGCCTGCCGCCGTGCTTTGGCTGTGCGTGCACCGAGCGGTACGGAAGTAGATAGCTCGCGCTCAAGTCATATATTGAAGTGATCATCTTATATTGCAACAGACTATATTGCATGAGTGCTTAGTGAAAAATCAGGTCGACAACATGATTAACAATCTGCTGAATCACCAAGAACAGATGAACTGACGAGTTTACTGTTCGATGTTTGGTTTCCGTACACCAACCTTTTCTAACTTCGAGACTGGAAACGTCTTCTATAATGACTAGAAAAGTTTAATATAATCACGTAGATAATATAAAAAAGTGATAATGTCTTGGCCTGTTTTATTTGAAGAAATTAAGTGCTCGAAAGATATTTTGATAGACCAGCCTAGGCTGACTAGAAAATTTCTTTAACTAAAGTGCTCATTTACAGCATTTCAAAATATTGGCCTTATGAAATAAACTTTTTGTTATATGGACATTTGCTTACGACGTTCTCAACGTATCAGAATGGTAAGATAAGTGAATGCTAGACTTCAAATAAAGTCTGATATTCATCTTCCGCAAAATTTGCCGAATGAAATTGAAGAGTGCAAAAGAAATTCTCTCCGATAAGTGTGGCTGATGTCGAACGCCAGGCGCCACTCTGTGTAGAAAGCTGTTCACTGATTTGAAACGATGCGCTTTGCACATTTTGACGTCGCCATCTCCTGAAAGTAACTCCCTATTCGCCGTCGACAACCGGCTGCACTCGGGTGATTTTCATGCTGAAGGATTCTTTTCGGCGTCACATTTTGTGAATCATAGGCACTATCAAGCTGTCTGTGGCTGTTCCTTACGCGGGGAGTTCAAATATTTCTGTTCAAATAAATTAATTGAAACTGCATGATTATATTAAAAATGACTTAAGCAACTGAAAAACTATGGACATGGGACCAAGCACGATACGCAATTCCGTGGAATTCATAAATAAACCGACAAAGCGAATCACACATGCGATTAAGAACGTAAAACAAATATAGGTGTGATATTGCGAACAAACAAGTTGCCTAATGTTAAGGTACCATTATTTCTAGCATAAAAAATAATTCAAACTAAATGTTTGTTCCCGCGCCTTGTCCACTAGTTCCCTAGTGTAATCAAAAGAAACTGTTTTCGATATGTTGGAACTACCATGTTTTCAGGAAAAACACGTGGCTAATTACGCTGAGTGTTTTTGTTTTCTTCCTTGACACCAATGCGCACTCATATATATAAAAACATTGGGCTTCCTATAGTAAATGTTCCGCCCTTATTAGCAACCAAACCTCAGTTCTCACAAGTTATTGGTATCTGAACCCTCGAGGCTCTCTTCAAGTCATATATGTATTCAATGTGCGCAAGTGCTAACGCTGATTCCTGTTCCTATAAAACCTTTCACACGTATCCCGCGCGCCGACGGTAAAAAATATTCAAAACGTGTTACAAAATCAACTACAAAAGTTGCGCCCATATTGATGTAATGCAATTGCATAGTAAGTATAAGTATCGGAGACACTTTACGGAGTAAGGCAAGAGACGTGGTGCAACGTGACGAAAAACACGAATTCAACGCATCCGCCCGGGCGCGGACGGGAGAGCGGAGCAACAAGTTGAAGCAACCTAATGGCGGCCGCATCACGTGATTCCAAGATGGCAGCGCCCATGCGGCGGAGGGTGAAACGGCGTGGACTATTACGGCCGTTATCTCATGTTTTCTGGTCCCGAGAGCGTCATTTGTGGTCTCTAAACTAACCTAAATGGCCAGACCTCGAAGCTTTAGCACAAACTTTCCTGTTAGCGTTCCAATCGAGGTATGTGGACGAGCCAGTGCTGGGAATCTCGACGCTGCGAAGCTCGGGGATCTTGCTTGTTTACGAATCAACAAGCTGTAGCAACCAATAAGTATGCATACATCGAGCTCGCGCCTTTACATTAGTGTTGTTGATCAGGAAGTTTGTTTGTTTCGTGCGTCCATAGACGAAATATTACTTCTTGCAATTACTGTTTTTCTTAATATGCCTGAGTATGCCTGAGTACGCCATTGAAAAGCTCAATTTTAACACACTTCTTATCGCTTATCTGTACTGACCCGCAGCACTGCACGAAGTGAAGTCCCCGCATTCCACTAATATTGAACATCGCGTATGCGCATAAAGTGATCCTGCAATCATATCGGCAAATTCGCACGTACAGACCGCTTTAAGAAAGCAAAAGTCGAGCACTTGTGTGAAGAATGTCGCACCGTGCGCCGCAAGTGCTCCGGACGGGCATAAACCCCTATGCGGTGCGCCAAACGAACGAATTCAAAGCGCGTTTGACGGTTGCTAATGGCTATAATATTTGTAATGTGTTTGCTTTCTTCCTGCTTGAGTATGCCAAGATAATTTCAGACACACCGTTCAGGCACAGATTTTGGGCATAAGTAAAAGCTCGTCCAAAAAGGCTTAGCGAGGAGTAGGGGACGCTTGTTAGGGCCTCCGTCGCAGCTAGCCGATCTCAGCGTTTGCGAAAAGTTAATCTTCTATCAGCATAAAATTTCAGTGGGAGATATATGATGACACGAGGAAGACATCATAGTAACTTTTGTGCAGTGGTGAGGTCGAACTTATTGCGTTTAAAAGTTCATGCGTAAACGCTGGGCTCAACTTTGATACCGTGAGGATGCGGCTTGCTTTTCGCCCAATGAAGTAACAATAAGCGGTCGTTTGGCAAACAAAATACGTGTAAGGCTCCAGATGAACAAATTTCAGTTCTAGTTCACTGGTACTAGACGGGATTATTGAAATTGAGCTCAAACATGCACTCGTGGGGTGAGGTGACTAAGCCACGACTTACTACGTTTGCATACGCACGCACAATATGCGGTGTTTCGGGAACCAAGGAAAGTGCCCCGGTCTTTGTTTTGTATCGCTCGAGAATGAGTGTATTGTACGTTCGTGAAAAGTCAGATAATCGAAAACGGAAGCAGCGCGCTCGGTCGCGGCGTGATAGCATGAGATGCAGCTGCTCAGTCGAAACCGAAACTGCGTGGCCAACTAGT